ATGGTAAAGGTGAGGTCATTGAATTTGTTGTTGTAGCTAGAGTACAGAATGCTAAGATCATTTATTTGTCAACAGTGTTACTGGTAATTGAAAGCACAAATGACTCATCATCTTCTCCATAGCTCCGCTATTCAACATGATTTCTCTGTCGCAGCTGACCAACCATTGTCGCTACTCTACCTACAAGATTCATGCTAATTACATCTTAGTCATTGTTCTATAATTAACTAAGTATATTGTTGTAATTTTCTCTTACCACTTATAGAAGTATGCATTTTCTGTGCTCAGACGCAGCAGGCAACGTAATGTAATAGTCTTGATTCAAAAAATACATTACAACTTCTATCCTTCCATCCACTCTGTCTTTATTCATTAAGCTTATTTCATCACGATATCAGAGCCATCAGTCATCGGACTATAAACTTAACTACTTTTTTTTTTAGCTCACCATTTCTTCTTCATTTCCATGGATTCTACTGTTGTCAAGCTCAATGACATTCTCATTCCCACTCAGCTCAAGTTTCTTAAGTCAAATATCAAAATATAGTGCACATTCAACTTATTGCTGAAAATTATCCCACTTGGCATTCACAAATCAACAAATTATTCACTGCAAATGGATTTGAAGGTTACATGAAAGCGACTACCACTTGACTGTCCAAACATACCATCTCCGACACAAGATAGCTGAACTCTCAGTCTCTCTCTGGTTACTAGTAGATTAGAACTTGGTTGCTGCACTATACTCCACTATCTTTGCATCTATTCTTCCATACATTCTTAACTTAGAAACATGCCATTCCATTTGGATTACACTTGAGCACCACCTACAATCCACATATCGAACAAGTGCCATCCAGCTCAAAATTGAACTTCACTCACTTACCATGAAAAATCAGTTTATGACTGATTACCTTTCCAATGTAAAATGCATTGTTGATAAAATTGTTGTAGCCGAAGGTTCCATGGATATCGAGGATATTATTCTATATATATTAAATGGTCTAGCAGCGAACTACCAGAGCTTCAAGACTTCTATAGGTGCTAAGCTCTCTCCAATTGGTCTCGACAACCTATACTCTCTTCTGTGTTGTGAAGAGGTGAATCTAGCAACTGAAGTAGCCAAAGAACTATATGTTTCTAATTTTACTCCAGCTCCTGATTATCAACATGCTCTTTCTTCCACACGTATTCAAAGCCGCTGTCGATTCTCACTTGCTTGCGATCTTGGACGCTCCTCATTCCAAAAAAATTTTCTCTCTGGTTCCTCCAAGGGGCGATATCCTGAAATCTTCTCTAGTTTGCCAAATTTGTCGTAAACGCAACCATTCTGCTTTTGATTGTTGGCATTGAAGAGATCTAAGTTTCACCCAACCAACCTCTAATTCTGCTCATGCTTTTGTTGTTGATCACTCCTGGTTGGTACTTAGACAACGGAGCTACTGCACATCTGACTTCAGAATTTCATTCAATTCAATAGCCTTCTCCATACCAGAGCTCAGATCAGGTACTTGTTGGCATTGGAACTTTTCTGCCCATACTCCACTCCGAAAAAGGTCTTCTTCCAAGATTTTCATGTATGCTTTCCATAACTCCTCTACTTCATGCTCCCAAACTCTCCCACAATTTACTCTCCATTTCCAAGCTTTTTGCTGACAATAATTGCCCCATTTCCTTTGACAATTCTGGTTACATCATCAAGGATCAGCAGAACAACAACATAACTCTTTGTGATCCCTGCCATAATGGTCTTTACCCCATTCCCAAATCCATTCCAACAATTGCGCTCCTCCATTTCATTCTCCATAGCCCTCTGGCATCATTGGGTCATCCAAGTCTTTCCACCTTAAGTACAATAGCAAAAAAATTTCATGCTTTATGTATTCCTTCTACTACTACTACTCATGTTTGTAATTCATGTGCTCTTGCTAAGAGCCATAGACTTCCATTTAATGAATCAATTAATGTTACTTCTTCTCCACTTCAACTTATATATGTTGATGTTTGGGGTCCATCACAAATTAATTCCACATATGGTTTTAGATTTTATGTATTATTTATTGATGATTTTACCAGATATATATGGCTCTATCCTATGCAACACAAATATGATACTACAAATAAATTCATACTCTTCAAAACTATTGTTGAAAAATAATTTAACAAACCAATTTGCACTCTTCGAACAGATAGGAGTCAGTTTCTAAACAACTCACTCACTCGTTACTTAATTCAACATGGCATTCACCACCAATATAATTGTCCCTATACCCCACAACAAAACGACAATGTCGAACGCAAACGCCGCCATTTGCTTGAAATCGTTCGTGCCTTGCTAATTGAAGCCCAATTACCAGCTCACTTTTGGGTTGAAACCTTACTTACCACTGTCTACCTCATAAATTAATTGCCTTCCCCCACCACCTCTTATCTTTCACTTGCCAACTTCTACATAACAAACTTCTAACCTACACTCATCTTTGCGTTTTTGGCTGTCGTTGCTATCCCTGATTTTGTCCATACTCTCCACACAAACTTGCCTCCCGTTCCACTCCTTGCATTTTCCTTGGCTATGCCATATTTCAAAAAGAATATAAATGCTATAATCTTTTACTGGCAAAATCATCATCTTCCGCCAAGTTCAATTTAACGAGTTTTATACTCCAACAATCACCTCACTAGCTCCTACTTTCGTACCAAATCCTGCTCCAATTACTTTTACACTAACTCCAGCCATTTCACCTCCACCTTCTCCAACAATTCAACCAACTACCTTTCTTCCTTCGTTCTTACCCTCTACCTCCACAAAATATGTCGCATTCACCATCTTCAAATTCCTCAAATTCTTCCCCCACCTCCTCACACTACTCCAATCAATCGTCATCCCATGCCACTTAAAACCCCACCAAATCCTTGATCTCAGTCGTACTCTTTCCACTACTCCCACGTGATACAGTTCAACCATCAAACCCTCTCTACCGAATTCCATGCTCTCCAATCTCAAGGTACCTGCACATTAGTACTTCATCCCAATCAAAATGTCATAAGTTACAAATAGATCTTTAATATTCAATACTATTTCGATGACTCCATTGCTAGGTACAAAGCAAGATTAGTTGTGCAAAACTATAAGCAAGAATATGGCATAGAATATGTTGAAACCTTCAATCCAGTTGCCAAATCACCAACTATACACCTCTTCCTTACTGCTGCACTAAATTTTAACTAGCCTATTCTTCAATTATATATGGCCAATGCATTTCTTCATGTAACCTTAAACGAAATTGTATTCATATCTCTACCACAAGCCTTTGAAGACCCTCAACACCCACACCATATTTGCCTATTAAAGAACCACACCATGTTTGTCTATTAAAGAAGGATCCCCGTGGCCTCAAGCAAGCTTTTCGTCAGTGGTTTGCTATCCTCTCAAATTATCTAAATCAACAGGTTTTAACAGCAGCTCCACCAATGCCTCTCTTATGATATATCATTGACAGCACATTCGGGCTTATTTATTAATCTATGTGGATGATATTCTTATTACTGGAAATGATCAACCTTTCATTTCGTCTCTTCCCAGCGAACTTCACCAATGCTTCAACATGAGAACTCACCTCCCTTACACGATTCCTTGGCATTGATGTCACATTAACATCTTTTAGGTGCAGCCTATCTCAGCAAACATACATCCAAGAGCTTCTCCATAAAGTTGGCACGTCATCTTGCAAGTTTCTCTCCAATCCACTTCCTTCTAAATCATCTACACCAGCTGAATTGCAAATTTCTTTTTCAGACCCTGCTTATTTTTGGCAATTAGCAGGCTCCCTACAATACATTACATTGACTCGCCCGGACATTACTTTTGCTGTAAACAAAATCTGTCAGCATATGCACAATCCCCTTAACTGTCATTTTCTGCTGCATAAGCACATCCTTCGTTATCTAAAAGGTACAGGTACTTATGGCTTACTCATTTAACGTGGGAAACTTCAGCTTTCAGCTTTTTCAGATTCAGATTGAGCTGGTGAAATCAATGATCACAAGTCTACTAAAGGCTGCTACATTTTTCTTAGCAATACTCTTCTCTCATGATGTATAAAAAAACAAAATACGGTAGCTCGATCATTTACAGAAGTTGAACACAACTCTCTAGTTGCTGCCACAATCGATCTCATCTGGCTTCATCGCCTCTGTCAAGACTTCTCTCTCTCCCTCAACACTACTTCACTATTTTTGTGATAATTTGCAGCTATTTCTATTGCAAGTAATCCTATTTTTCATTCTCGAACAAACACATTGAAATCGATCACCATTTCATTCGAGAAAACATTAACCCCAAAATTATTGTTCTTCATCATATTTCCATCAAAGATCAACTAGCAGATATCTTCACCAAAGCATTGCCTACTCCTCGGTTCACTCTTCTCAAAAACAAGTTGACGGTATGTTCCTTTTTTCAATAGCTCCACTATTCCACATGATTTCTCTGCTGCAGCTCACCTGCCACTGTCGCCACCTCCGCCTGCAAGATTCCTACAGCTTAGCCACTGATCTATGACTAAGAATATTGTTGTAATTGTCTCATTCTACTTATATGCAGTTACTGTACTCAGACATCAGCAGACAATGTAATGTAATAGTTGACGGTATGAGTTCCCCTACATAAGCTCCTTGGTCTTCGTATTAGCGAATTATATTTATATGCAAGTTAATTTTCATTTGTCCATTTAGGCTTAGTTTGGGACGGCTTTTTTATTGCTTTCTAAAACGGAGTTTTATTACAAATTTTTTTATTTTTGTATTAAAACTCCGTTTTAGAAAGCAATGAAAAAGCCGTCCCAAATGAAGCCTTAATTTTAATAAAGATTTAAGCTGTTTTTTCCTTAGGTTGTAACAGAAAACAGGTCTGTCAACATTCTTTTATTTTAAAAATTTCTGTTAGTCGCTGATTTTGGAATTATAGAGGTGAAGATAATTTTGTTTTTCTACAATTTCAGAAGTGTTTGAGCTACATATGGAGGAGTTGCGTAGAAAGCAAGAGGAGATTTCTAAGAAAGATGGTGAAATCAAAGTATTGGAGGCTATAATACAAACACTCAGTAGAAATGGCTCAACTGCCTCAGAAGATTAAGCAGCAGATATGTTTATCTGTTTTAGCTTGTGGAGCTGCCTTAGCAACCATGTAGGTCTATGCAATATTTGCATTATTTTTTCTTTACTATATTGTTATAGCTTCTTCTTTGCAGGCAGAATTATACTTTGGCTTCGTTTGGAAAGGCTTTCTTACTACTTAAAGCAGTTTTATAGTACAAAATTTTTTATTTTTGTACTAAAAAGCTGCTTCATAAGCAATAAGAAAGCCGTCTCAAACAAAGCCTTTGTTTGAGACAGCTTTCTTCCTGCTTTTTAAAATTATTTTTTAATATAAAATTTTTAATTCAAGAAATTTTTGTACCAAATAAAACATTAATCTTATTCACGGAGCTGCATTATGTCAAAAATATTATTTCAGCAAGTGTCGCCGGAGGTTATGCTATGCTGTTAAACCAGATGGAGAGCTTCATCAAGCTCGAATATTCATCATGGGCATCCAAGCTTCAGGAATATGAGCAAATCTACCCTCTGTGAATTTGTTTCTTTAGGTTGCTATTCACAGCATAATCATAAAAAAAGATATGCTACTCTTTGTAACCCAAATTGGACAATCTATTTTTAATATATAAGCCTGAAACATAATTGATGTTATCAAGTTTCTGAAAGTGAGATCTTTGAAGAAAGCAGTACAATTATTATGCAATTCATTAAGAAAGAAATGTAATGCTATAATACAAGATTGTATTATCAATTGATGGCTTGATGATCAAGATCAATAGACTATTTAAGTGAAATTCCAATTATCATAGAATAAGAATACGTTTTTAGTATATTTTGTATAAATTTGCATTTGAACTTTCAATTATAGATTATCATAAATTATGCTATAATCACTTTAGAATTGATGACTTTCTTAGATCAATGAGTGTTGGGGATGTGAAAGTAAGCCACGCGTTGCGAAACAAAAATGAAAATAGAAATGCAGTGAAAAAGGACATCCGGATTTAACATGAAAAAATTTAAAATGGAATAAAAAAATTATGGAGCCAAATCACATCAAAAAAATCATTATGAAAATTAGGAGAAATATGTATAAATTTCTCTTCTCTTGCGCTCTCTTCTTGGTTCTCTCATCTCTTGCACCATTTTCACTCAAAAATCACATGAAAGTAATGTAAACATACATTAAGGAATGCCACCCTTCAGAAAAAAATTTGTCTAGCGTTGTGGCACTACATAGTACTGCGGCGTTGAATCTAAAGTGTTGTGGCGCTCTACTCTCTGACTTTTTTTCTAGCAAACTTTATAGCATCGGGACACTCGGGTGCACAACGCAGGGGCACTCAGGTGATGAGTTGCTATGAGCAACCTATATATATGTTGATGATGGAAAGATAAATTTTGGTCGCTATGAGCAACCTATATATATATATATATATTCAAAACTTCTAACCTTTTAATTAAGATATACCTCTTTTGATCATAGTATAATGAAAGATAACTTTTAGCTCAACTTTAGTTCCTATTTATTTAACTTTGTATTTACTATTTAATAATATTTTTCATTCTTTTTTTTTTTTAATGTGCACTTAATGCACATGCAGTTATTCTAGTATCAATAAATTAAGCAATATAATATTTTTCTTGATGAAATTAATGTATTCATTGGCAACTATAAACTATGATTAATATGTTACTCAAACTCACCTTGATTTGGCATGAATCTCGTTGCAATTATGACTTGGAAATTTTCAAAATTAACTTTAGGGTCATTTGAACTTTGATTTTAGCAAACATAATAGTTAAATTGATCATCTTAGGGAAACGAACCTAACAACACCAAATTCGATCCAATATGAGCCCAAATGGGCCAAAATAAAAGAACTAAAGCCTAATGGAATGCTTTAGATCATTAATTGGATGATCAAATGATCTTCAAATATGACATGCTTATAGTAGAATTGAGTGGATCGATGAGATGAATCCAAAGAGCTCAAAATCACCTACTTTTAACCTTTTTTAAGGCATTTAAATGCTTGATAAATGTTCTATAATCAAGGGGATCACTATGACCCGTCCGATGAAACACTCTCAACATACCCTTGATCTTCTCCATATTTACTAGACATGCCGCTCCTAAAACACTATAAATAGCCCAGCATTCTTCACATGAGGGAGGGGAGACGAGGAGGAGGATAAGTATCGCAGTAATGAATGGAAGGCTTGGTTGTCAAAGATGATTTATATTAGACAATACAATACCACAAGGCAAGCGTTCCCGCATTATATAGTGGAAATTTAAATGTTGAACAATAGTAAGCAATAAATTGTAAATAATGGCTCATAAAAATTCAATCAACCCTCCCAACCATATCTGCCACCCGTCAGTCCACAGCTAACGAAAATTATTATTCATGTCATGGCCCCTCAGTCCATACTAAATGTAAGTAACCTTAAACATTTAATAAAATGTGTGCGTGTTTTATGTGTACTATGTGCGTAATATGTGCGTGTATTATGCGTACTTAATGCGTATTTTGTGCTTTCGTTATGCGTATTATTTAAAAATGTTTTAAAACCATTTTCAAAACTATTTATAAAATTATTATTTTTTGTTAAGATAAATAAGAAATTCAAACACTAATCTTTAAACATAAATGTCAAACACAAAATCTTTCAAACATTATATTCCTTATTTCTCTTCCTCAAATACAATATACTAAGAGCCATAATCCCTTTGTACTTGTTCAAATATCATATTCAAGACTAGAAAATGAAATCATAAAAATCACATTGCGTCTAATTTGTAAATAACAAGTTTAAGTTTAACGTGTTAAACATATTTCTCATCATTTTAATGTAAGTAAATTAAAAATAAAGATAGATATTAATTAAAATATTTAATATATTTTGATAAATAAAATTTACTGCGTAATGTGTGCGTGTATCATGCGTACTATGTACGTCGTTTGTGCGTGCGAAATGCATATTTTGTGCGTGCGTAATGCATATTATTTAAAAACGTTTCAAAATCATTTATAAATTTTTTTTTTCGTTAAAACAAATAAGAAATTCAAACAGTAATCTTTAAATGTAAATGTCAAACACAAAATCTTTCAAACATCATATTATGGGTATTCTATGCCATTTATCTGCTTATGATATGCGTATTATATGCGTACAGTATGCTTACACAATACGTACGATATGCGTAATTTATACGTATTATCATTTAATAAATTATTTTTTAATCAAATCAATATAAATAACATTTATACATATAATTAAAAAATATATTCTTCAGAAATAAATATTTATACACAGAATAATAATAAATATTTATACACAAACTGTTTAAATATTTATACACAGAATCATTTATACATAAAAACATTTATATATAGAATGATAAATATTTATACAGAATGAAAAAATGTCATTTTTTCAAAGTTCTACATAATATTTCATATGCCGATTCTGCCCTATTCTTTGGCATGTCTTCTTGCCAATTTGTATTATCAGTCCAATCAGTGTTGCCTTCAAGACTTATTCTTTTCATATATTTACAGACATACATTCCGTAATCTATAGAGTTATCTTATTTTGGTACACCTTTAATGAAAGAAAGCTTCTATTTTTTGATATCACTATCAAAAGCTCCTTTCGTGTCAGAGTATAGGGCTTTAAGCTGAAAAATACGTAGAGCAAGGATTAGTTCTATAAATTTTTTAAAAATTAAAGAGTTCATGTTCATCCAACACTTACGATTTTTGGAACAATAAGCATATGCTCTTTGACGCGGTGGGGCAACGAGTCATAAAATTTCCACTTCTGTTCTTTTAGCAAACCAACCAGCAAGGTAATGTGCGATGATTCAATGATTGTCTATAATAAAATGTTGTTTGAAGAAACAGAAAGCTCGGTTATATGGTCGATTTGCAATTTAGCCAATTTATCCCTTCCTCTGTTATTATGCAAGTGCAAGTAGTAAATATAAGTATGTAACTATGTAAGAACTAAGAAATGGATACTAAGTTACTAATCCAATAGTTAAACTGATTAATTGAATACTAAGTTACTAACCCAATAGAGTGGAGAGATGTATAGAAATTTATGGTACTTGTCAGGCATAAGGTTGTACTTCTCATCTAACAAAATGACAAAAAGATTTAAATGTTCATTGCCTAAATAATTGTCGCTTAATAACTCGTCAATTTCAGCTCTGCAAATAAGAATGTTACTAACAAACAAGATACTATTGTCCCTGCACGAAAAAAAAAACAAATTAAATACGCATTGCATAAGCATACCATACGCGTATCATAAGCATAAAAAACACATATCATACGCATAACATAACCATACTATACGCATATCATAACATACACGTATAATAAGCATACAATAAGCATAAGTAACGCATATCATACACATAACTCACGCATACCATATGCAAAAAATTATTCAAACATAAAATAAGTTGCAATTTTTTTACCTTCGATTGTACTTCTTCAAATATTCATGAATATAATTTTTCTTCTCAGAACTCAAACTCAGCAGACCTTAGTAATTTTCTATTTCAGTAGCATAAACAAGAATTACAAAATTTATCTGAATGTCATCTACTGGATTGGTTCTTTTGGATTTGTATATGGAATAAGATGCATTTCTGTTGGGATTTGCTCCTTTCTGGATGAGATTGGCTCATTTTGGGGTATTGGTTCATTGGGGCTGTGGGGAGGGATATCTGATTTATGGTTCTTATTGGAAGATGAAGAGTAGCTAACAGATCTTTTCTGAGTGGGTATTTTACTCTGATCAATGTAATTATTGAGCTTGACCTCCATAACTTCAACTCTTTCAGTTAGGTCTTCAAACTTTCTGCTCAACCTATCTTCAAATTCAAGAAAAAGTTTTATGCATGTTTCTTGATAGTATTTGATTATTCTTTCTTGTAGGGATTCAAGTGCTTCAGCAGAAAATCTTAAGTGTAGTTGCTGAGGAGATTGGTGGGGGTCTTGCTGAGGAGATTGGTGGGGGTCTTGCTGAGGAGGTGGGGTATGATGGGGAGATAGGGGGGATGTTTTGATGGGTGGATATTTCATAAGGGGAATCAGGGGATGGAGGGCTGTCTGATGGATATTTCTCAACATTAACCATATCCATTTCAGCTTGGGAAACTGCTTGGAGGACATTACAAATATGACTTTTTCTTATATTAGCAAATAAGTTAGTGATCACCTCTGTAGTATATACAATATCATCGGCCCATCGTAGAAAATGGGGCCTTTTGTCAGCATGCATAGGAGAATGAAAAGAAGTACGCTCCAATAACCAAATCTGCATAAGATGAAAGAAAATTTTAGCACTCACATTGAGCCAATAAAATTTTGAAAGAATTTAGCAGTTAGCACTTAGCACTCACAATTAGTTGAGGTACAAAACCATTGATGTAACATGCTGGCTTCTTATTTGAAATCTTGGAGGAGGCCTTATTAAACTCTCCAACTAAAAATTCCCTAATTGAACTAGCCTAGTTTATTGACAAAAAATCATCTGGATTATTTTTTATTCTTTGAAGCAACCGAGGGGTTTTGAAGTTGTTAAGTTGAAAAAGTAAATTTGAACATAAATACATGATAAACGTTCTTAACATAGTCTGGGGGGTTTGCTTGTTCAACTCCATCATGTCTGCCATAATTTCTGATGATGTAACTGAAATATGTGCTAAAGAAAGCCAGGATATTTCTTCTCCTTTATTTGGCAGACCAGTGAGAAGGGCCACTTCATCAGCAGTGAAAGGAATGACAATACCTTTTAGAACAAAGCATTATTTTGAAATGTTCCACCTTGAGATCAGCTCATAAATAAGAGGGACATTTTGCTCAAACCTAGGAAATTCCAAAAACTGTATGATCTTTAAACATTTCAATGTGTCCACGATTTTAGGAGTAATTTGATGAGCAAAATTATCACAGACTGATCGAAACGAGAAACATAGCATCGATAGGTAATTAGACAAACATATATCTGAAAAATAAAAAAAAAATAAAAAAATAAGTAAATGAGATACGCAAAGAAAACGCACAACATACGCACAATGTAAGCAACGGTCACACACAGTGTACGCATAACATACGCATATATTACGCACACCATACTCACAATAATGCACATTTCATAACAGCAAATTATATAAACGCATATAGTACGCACATCATAAGCATTGATCACGCATTTTGTAAGCATAACATATGCATAAGAACACACATTGCAGAAAACATGACAGCAAATTATACGCACGTAGAAGGTACGCACAATATAAGCAAGGGTCACGCAGATTACACGCATATCATACGCACTGCGTACAACATATGCATAGATTACTTGGTGCTTAAAATTTTGTTAGGATTTAGGTTTCAAATTTCAATATAATTTTGAGAACCAATGCATACGCATAGAATAAGCATAAAATACGAAGATCTTCAGAACCTTGAACACCAACGCATAGCATAACCATAAAATACAGAGTACGGAACAGAAAATATTGCATTAAGTTGTCTCTCTCTTTGGGGGTGATGACATCTTAGAAGAAACTGAGTAAAGAATGCTTGAAATTGCTCCAGAGTGAATGCTTGAAAGTTCGAATGTTTGCTGGAAGCCTGGAACTTGAAAATCGATACGTCGCCTCTGTCATTCGACCTTTACCAGGGTTTAAATGTTGATGCATCGTCGACATCTCACTAGGCGTACCACGTCGGCAACTGGGGGTCCGAACTGAAAAAAAAAACTTTAGGTTAATGTTTTTAGAGGTGGCGTCTTAAATATATGAGGCGAGCCTCAGTAAACTTGAAGCGTAAGCCTCATAAACTGAACTTATTGCGTGGGCTTTGAAGCTTAAATGGACCAAATTGCGCTGAGGCGCACCTTTTATTGTTCAATTTTAAATGTTAGAAGTCAACCATTAACAACTCAACACAATTTGAAATAAAATATCATGAGCTACAAAAAAAAAAAAAAAATCTCAACATTGCTCAGTGTATGAACCAGATGATAATATGTGATCAAAAGAAGAAATTGAAGATAACAATAGAAAAACATCTCGATTGTCATAGGGGTCACAATCGTATAACCAATTTGACTAAAACCCATTCTTGATCGTTCAAATATTAAAGGCTTGCAAACTCGCCCAACATAATTTGGGCGCATGAGAATGCATAATTTTTAGGATGACTAATTTATTACTCCCTAAAATAATTATTGTATCTCTTGAGATAATTATAATAATAGATTTATTCTTAATTTACAATTATGAGTTCTGATAATTCATTTAAAAATGAGTTCTGGAAATCATTCCAATAATAAAATAAACAATGAAAATTATTAAAAATTAGAAAAGATCGTTAAATTCTATAACATTGTGCTCAATTTGCGTACGACGATCCTCATTTGTCTATGCTCGTTTGGGACGATTCCATTGTTTTATCGGCCGCCCAGTAACCGCACTTACTAGAGAAAACGCCCGGAATGGAAGTGGTTCCGGCGATCGTCGCGGCGTTGGCGCTCTTCCTACCCTTCTTTGCGTGGATACTGAGGTGGGCTCACGAAAGGCGGTTCATCAGAGAGCTTGTCGCCGGACCGGGCTCTCTGCCGCCGGGGTCGATGGGTTGGCCGCTCCTAGGCGAGATGTTCGACTTCCTCCGCTACTTCAAGTTCGCCAAAAGACCCGATGATTTCATAACGAAGAGGAAAGCTAGGTAAGATTAGCTGCTATTATTTCTTATTCTGTTGTATGGTTCGATATTGACAGTTCTAAGTATTTGATTGCTTAGGTATAGAAGCAGGTCTGGATTTAGAATGCACTCTTAGTGAAAGGAGCAAAATGAAAAAGGTTACAGCTTATATAATTAGTTACCGACCCATAAAAGATTATAAGTTAGATTTAGTTATGTTTTATAAGGAGGCATATTTCTCTCTTTTTTTTTTTTCTTGTTTTGTATCAATTATCAAATGTTAATGGATTGTTGTAAATGCACAAAGAAAAATGAATGAAAGTTTATCAGGCACATTATAATTGTTTGTATACATTTAGCAAATCAACAAGCAAAATAAACGAAGCTGTGCTCGAAGTCTGAAGTAGTGAAGCAATCAAATTAACTTCAATATTAAAAATAATAGTTAGATATTGAAATTTAAGTTATGTTGTTATACTTTTGCGTGAATCTTTTCATATAATTAATCTTCACACTTGTCATACTACATGTGTGCTGATGTTTCTTATGCTTCCTCCAAAAAATATTAATACTAAAATGAATAAAAAAATTAAGCCATGAAATGCTATATTTATGTCAATAATTATTAAGTATATTAATTATTAGAGCTATAATTAAAGGTGAGATAAATAGTATCACTTAAGTAAATCATATCCTATTTTTATAGGGTAGTAAGCACAACGTTAAGCTCATGGATAGCCCCTCTTTGTCTCTCTCTTAGCATGATGAGAATGACAAGATTAGTTCGAGGATCCACGTCCATAGTGCAAGCCTGATGATGTTGATGAAGATATTGATGCCGATGATGATGAAAAATGAGGGTTATGAGGTTTCCTAAATGTAATGTTGAGGAGCATGGTATCATTGGGGTCATGCTTGGACATTTAACTAGAATCTAATTAGAGGATGTATGATATTTAGGAGGTATAACCACCAAGAGTGTTGTTGTAGCTATGTTTTATTTAGGTGTGGCCAAGTGCACATCTCTGGGGCTATTTTGTAGGGATTTAAATCATGCTTAAGCTAACCTAAGCCCCTAAGCTCAACTGAAAAGACCCATTTTGACGTCCCTTAAGCCATAAATTTTTAAAACTTCCTTACTATAACTTAGGGTTTAACCTGACTTAAAGATAAGTTGGGTGAATTATCAGCTTTAGCTTGAAAGCTCAAACCTATTTCTTGTGATAATTGAGTGATTTGAATTATAGTAAATATAAAAGTATATTTAATAATTATTAAGTTTATACTCATAATTAAGTTTATCTTTTCAAAGTAATTAAGTTTATCTTTCAAATTAATTAAATTTATCTTGTTATAATTAATTAAGTTGAACAATCTTTGAGTTTTTTTTTTTCCCCGCTCTTTAGTTTGTAGGATGGAATTAATTATGATTTAGGCAAGGTTCATACTAATGATCTTGGAAGGCCCTTACCAGCTCGACTATCTGAAACCCAATTAATCATCATTAAGTTTTAATTATAATAAAGTTTTTCTAATAGTAAATTAACTCATGTTTATACAATAATTGAACACTATAATAGATTAAGGAAATGAGCTTATGCTATAATGTTGTCAAATATTTTTCTCAACTTATGTTAGCGTATATTATCTTTTTTTTGGGCTCCAAAATTTCAATTTAGCTTCTTTAGAAATATTATTTACTTTTGAGTTGAATTTTTAGGAGTTAAATTGGATATCAGATAACATACTAAACATTGATTTTGCCTTATTGCGATGACTTCCTAATCTAGTTTGAGGTTTTCTATTGCCACAACCACTATAATTATTTATCGCTCTATTTCACAAGAAAGAATTATTTTCAAGCTTAGTTGGTAAGCTCAACAATACTTGTTGTAACATTGATTTGATAGGATGTAATGCTATTTGGTATGAGTTGATAGTGGGGCTCAAGTAGTTCAACTTCATTCCTGATGTATTTCCTAAGTGCAGTGACAAGATATTCAAAGGCGTTTAAGTATTCAATAACCAAAATACTATCTTACCTTAAAGTCAATAATTTCCCATATAGTTTCTTATAGTGATATATTGGGCACTATTTGGCTCTTACATCTGTTTCATCTCTATATAAGTGAGGGTGGCTTTTTCTAGTCTATGTTCCTTTGTTAAGGTGTTTGTCCAATAAATTTTTGCATTTTTAGTTAATTTCATTTTGACAAATTCAGCTCATGGGTAATTGTCAATCTTATACTAATAAAAAAATCATCCATTTGGATAAACCGGTTTAGGAATCTATTAAGGTCATGAGTATTATCCTATGCGGGAGCGTTAATTTTAACGGATAGTATAATAACCCAAATATGAAAATGTATTTTAAAATGAAATATTTGAATTTTTGTTTGAATTAGAGCATTGCGGCGCTGATATTATAAGCGCTGAGGCGCAAGCCTTTGAGCGCCGTGGCGTCAGAAATCACCACTGCGATATTGAAGCCTCTATTATATAATAATTCTAGATTCAACATATGGCGCTACGACGTTGGGTCGGAGCGCTGCTAGGCCACTAATAGTATTTTTATATATTTTTTATTCTTATCCTAAGCACAAAAACCTTCAGCGACACAACCTCTCCCTCATTCTTGCGTGGCTTGCTCGGGAAATAAAGGGAGAAGGGAGAAGGGAGATGGAAGAAGGGATAGGGAGAGGAGAGAGGAAGCTCTCTTGGGCTTTTTTGTCCGTCATTTCTATTTTAAAAATGAATTCTGATTCTTGTAAGTTACTGTTTTCTTACTCCTGTATTCGATGATTTTAATTTATGCCAATTTTATATCCCCTTAATCTACCAAAAATGTATCATCTCCTGATTTTGTTAGCTTTCACTGTATAACTTTTTATATGTTATATATTTGATCATTTTGAATGATTTGATATAATTTTATTATTTTTTCACTTGTTAAATAAGTTTATAGGAATTTGTATGTAAAATAAGTAGAAAATATATGCTGAAAATGGATTAAAAAGTAATGTGATGTGATCTTATATGGAAATACTAAAATGTTGTTTGGACTTAAATAATTAATGTGATGAAAATATATTTAAATGTTGTACTGACTGATATCAGATATACATGATATGGTCACTAATGAGAGTCATAAAGAGCTAGAGATTGATTGCGAGTTAAGGAGTCAGGCCGACTGATCCATGTGATTCATTGATTGAGAGTTATAAGGGGCGATTGATCGGCAGTCATAAGGGCATGCGCAAGACCAAGTTACTCTCATCTGAATATTTGATAAATGATTTGAATACTTCATGATAAAAGTATTGATATAATTACTTTACAAATAACTAGCTGACTGAGATAACTGAATGAATGATAAAATTGATTGATTGAAAGATAAAGACTGAATGACTAGTTAATTGATTGACAGATTGAGATGTGATGTGTAATAGAACTAATAAATTGACATATGTGATCAGTATATATAGCATATATTGATGCATTATCTTTCTTTCATGATTTACTGCATACTATTTTTCTTTTGCCTTACATTGATTTCCGTTGTAAGATTTTAGTTATTTATAGGTGGTTTTTATGCTCATTAAGTAATTTTATATGATTTGAATTAAAGATAATGAACATATGATTTGAGAATTAACAGTAATGATATTTTGTTTTTATTTTTAGTTCTTTAGTTATATGTATTCCTTTGTAGCCTGTAGTAGCTATTATACATATTGTTTTGGACAATAATTATAGAATGTAAATATTGATTATAAAAATATAATAATATTTTTTCTGTGGTTATTTATTTTCTTTAATACAATTAATTAGTTTAAAATGTTAAATTGATCTAGTTGTAATTTAATGATTATTGGTTGTTAATTGAGAGAAAAAAAAATAACGAGTAGAAAAGATAGTAAAGGAGAAGAAAAAAAAAAACTTCCTCTTTAAATTCTGGGGCATGACAAAATGATATCAGAATAATAGTTAGTGGAAGAATTTGCTTGTAACCAAAGCTACATTAATGATAGCATTTATTTATTGATTAAATGCATTTATATATTTATTTGTTTTGAAGAACTTTTATATTGTATTTGTTTATTTTATTTTGAAAGATTTATTTTGTATTTAAAATTTGTTTTTATTGATCAAGCAAATGGACTTGAAAGGGAATAAAAATTAATAAACTTGCTTTCCTCCATCTTCTCCCTCTTTGCTCAATCCTGTCGGCTGAAGCTTCTCATATGTTTTATCCTTACAGGAATGGTTGAAACAAAGATATTACTCTCGAGTTGTTAGTTTTCACTCTCGTATGAGGTCCTTCGCTCAATGGTGTGATCCTACTCCATTTGGGTAGTCACGCATGAGGACGGCTCTATCTAGTTGCGGTTTTGCTCCTGCACCCATCTGCTTTTGTTCGATTTAATAACTGAACGGTTCACTTGAACCGGCCGGACTAGTTCTTATAGTCCTTTTGACCACCATCACCCAAGTAAGGTTATTCTGACCTCCGTCACCAACCGACTATGGTCCCTTCAACAATCGTCGTCTGACTACTATCCTTCTGACCTCTGTCACTTGCCGACTATGATCCCTTCGACCACCGCTGCCCTACTATAGTTTTTCTGACCACCATCGACCGAATATGGTCCCTTCGACCACCATCGACCGAATATGGTTCCTTCGACCACCATCTTCTGATTACAGTCCTTCCGACCTCCGTCATGTGTCGACTACAATCCCTCCGACTACTTTCGCCTAACCACAATGCTTGCAACCCCCGTCGCCTGCAGACTACATTCCTTTTGACCATCATTATCCGACTACGGTCCTACCAACCAAATGAATAGGACAACACTCTCTTAATAACAATTCTCATGACATTGGGTTCTTCCGGTCCCAACCATGCAAAGTACATTATATGATATATATTTGCTAAATTGAATTAGCGCCTTTCTCTGAGGAATGACATTATTTGTAATCAACTGCAAACATTAGTTGATTCATTCAAACGGGGCAATGCCTCATGGTTTTTCTCCATTTTTCTGGGTTTAACGTAAAAATTATTGTGTTTCTTATGCATGATGCACCCTACTCTTTTATCTATTTGTGTGTTGGATCTCATAAAGCTAGGACACTAAATTCTCTTTCTCTCTATTATCATGAATATTCTGAGATGCAACATAGCTTTTAGGAAAGTATGCTTGATTTCAATGTCCAAGAGATGTAGAATGACAAGCTGCCTGGTAGCAGCTGAAGGCATTCCTCACAAGCCAGAGACCTATGGTTTTCCTTACCAGAAAGTGCTCTAATATTCCCTTTAACCACATATTCCAAATTAGACAGGACAATCATTAGTTGACACATATATCTGTTGCTTGTTTTCTTTCTCCAAGTTTCCAACTATAAGACTAGTAAAACCTAATCTCAATCTGCAGGAGGTTTGAAATTGTAAAACATGTGTGATTTGGATATACAAAGTTTAGAGATCATTCAATCCTGCCAGAGAGTGACCACGTGCCAGGACCACTTTGTCATGCCTATTAGCTAACAGATTTCTTATGTAGCTGAGATATAATACAAGTGAAACTACCAATCCAATCCTTATGTTTTTGTGATTAGTTGAGTGGGAATCGTACTGCTTCTTGCTTCAACAGATGTGAATCCACTTGGATTAGTTTAGAGTAATGGCGGATTAGTTAGTAGGGTAAAGTAGGGTTACTTGCGTAAGATAATTATTTTAAATCTATAAATAAACCCCAACTGGGGAGAGTGAGATATGAAATGAATGTAGTAAACTTCCTTGGTTCTTGTATCTTCTCGTCTTTTTTTTCTTTTTTGGGATTTTGAGTAGCTCAAAATGCTTTGATAGGCCTTGGGTCCTATCATTGGCGTTTCTGTTGAGAGAACTTATGCGCGAATCCATTGCTGTTCGTCTCCAAATTTTCTTCTTCATCTTCAATAATAAGTATAGTAGGGTAAAGTAGGGATACACTGCAATCAAAAGAAACATGGGTAGATGATCCTAAAGCCTATATCAACATCAATTCCAACCCAATTGCATTTTCTGTGACATCCTGTTTCTTCTGTTCAAGTTCAGATTGTATCCACGCCATCAAACCATCTCTAATTCAAGATTTTGTCTCTGATATGAAGCACTTGAAGATTTCAAGTGGATCCTATCAATTTTTGAAAAACAACGAGAGATCTCTACGAATTCAATGAAAAAAATAGAGAAAATAATCACTTTATGGAGAAGAAAACAACTAATGAAAGAAAAAAATAAACAAGATACAAGTGATCTTCTATTTGAGGGGATGATCTATCTCTCCCAAATCTCTAGATGCCGCTAGAGCCCAAAGAAACCAAAAGGATCTCAAATTTCAGCCAAATTTAAGATGCCATAACCCTAGGAAAACAAACTATTTAATGCTTACAAATCAAAAAGGAAATCCCTAAACAGTCCCTACATTCAAATTTCCCTCCCAATTCCCTCAAAAAATCTTCCAAAATAGCTCCCATGGATCTCGCGGCATGCGCAGGAGGCGGAGAAGTTCCGCCTCTGTTGCGCTGGGCCGGTCTCATGTGGATCGGCTGGACCGGTCTAATAGTCTCTTTGCCTACATCAGCATGGCAGTGTCCAAATTTTGCTTGTACCCCTTCATCAATGTTAGTTGCAGCAAATCCTGCCGCCATCTCAGTCCCAGACCTTCATTGCCTGGAAACTTCCATCTAAGAAATCTCTAGCTTTCTATTTCACCAACTTTCTTCGACCCCATTTAGATCTTCGTTATCCACCAATCTTACTTTGATTATGCTAGTTGGTTCCATCCAAGCCTTCATTAATCTGTAGTCTGTTATACATTCCACCTCCCGCATGTTTTGCAAATGTTTGTGTTCCTCTCTGCAATTATGTGGATTCCAACAACTTTCATGCCAAGTTTGATGATCCTTTTTCTTCTATGAAGTCGCGTCAACAAAGCTTGCAGAGTTACAGCCATCGCATGGGGCTTCACTGCCTCTTCCACGCCACCTCTGACTCCATCTTGAGCTTCTTCTTACAACTCTTCCATTTTTATAATAGGCCATTAACTCCCGCAACCTAGATTCGATGACACAAATCTCCACATCAATGCTCAAGAATCGCAACCATCGTCCAAGATCCTACAAACTTGACGATGCACTTGCGCAACGATTTTGTAGTTGCTAAATCTTGTCGCCACATATTTTCACTTTCATCTCCTGGAGTGCTTGATTTTGTTGAGCCTTGTTAGCAGTTGTCAATCCTGAGTACAATTCGATGTCAACTTTAGATCACCAACCAAGATCTCATCAGATCTTGTTAGTATGCGACCAGGTGTTCTATGAAAGAATCAGAAATGCTATAATCTTGCTTCCACCTTCTTCTCCAAATCATAGTAGAGGTCTTATCAAGATCAGTGGAATCAAGAATGATGGAACATTATCTAGCAAGTGTTAGTAAAACGAAGGAGCAACTTTGATTAATCACAATGATATTGCAGGATTTTGCCGGACTTAATTTTGATGGACAACAAATTCGAATTGCAATTAGATTTGAAATCAACGGTGAATGTTAAGTTATAAGAATCGTTATAAATATTCCTCATTTTAATGGGGATAATTCACATGAATGGCTTCTAAAGGTTGATCATTTCTTTTCTTTTAGTAATCTATTTGATGTGTAGTGTTCTATAATCTCTTAAGTATATATGAATGGTCCAACATTGTGTTAGGACCAGTGGTGTCTTCGAACAAACTTTTGAGTCTTGGAATTCTTCCAAGCAAAATATTCTCTAATGTTTGGCCATTCTCTGGAGTACATAGAATATCATCTTGAAATAATAAAACCAGCCTTGAGACACGATATAGACCATTGCATCACAAGTTCACATGCTAACGAGATCATAGAGAAATCAGATGTGCAATTGTGGTTGACTGGTTGGCCCCCATCTCCACCAGACTTACTTTAGTAGTCTGACCTTATCCAACCTTGATGACAAAGCTTGCCATGAGAGGGGTACTAATTATGTGAATTCAACTTGTGTTGGTTTAGTAGAAATGGTGGAAATTAGAAGGGTAATTAGCCTAAGTTAGTTCTTGTAAGTCTATAAAGAAGTCCAAATCAAGGAGAATGGGATAGGAAATTAATGTATGCAATTTCCCCATTCTTATATATCCTCTCCTCTGTTTTTTTATTTTGGGAGGAGTTTGATCACTCCAAAATACTTTGATAGTCTTGGGTCCTATCACCAACAGAATGCTCCAACTCTTACTGCAACTTATTTTTTTTACCTTTTACGTCCTGCGTGTAATGCTTAATTTAAATTGACATATAAGATAGCCATACTTTACAATGGTAGGATGTATTTGAAAATCCGAACTTATCTATCTTTTCAATCGTTGAAAATCTTACCCTAAAACATTTTCAGGCTTTGGCCTTCTGATAATGTCCCTCAATACAATAATTAAAGTTAACTTTGCCCTATTTCATCTATCCGTAGTTATTAGTCAAATCTTTTTATGTATTGTGGACTTAGAAAAGAAAAAGGGAGTTTATAGGAACAACAACTTGCCAGAATTCTTGCCAGACCCATATTCCTTGTATTTATTACATTATGATTAGAACATAAACTTAACTTTGCTTCTTCTGCCCATTTCTCTCATTTCTATCCCTCTATAATGCAGGTATGGGGACACCGGTATTTATAGATCCCACTTATTCGGCAGTCCAGTGATAATCACATGCTCCCCTGAGTTCAATAAGCAGGTGCTTAGTAGAATGACAGAGGAGGAGAGTTTAAGTTCAGGCTGGCCCTCAAATAAGCTGCTGGGAAATTCTTCAATTGCAGTAGTCGATGGAATTTTGCACAAGAGATTAAGAAAGAGTTTGATGGAAGCCTTCACAAACCCGAAGGCTCTTAATGCTCAACTAAGTATTGCACAACCTGTCATTATTTCAGCTCTTGAAAAGTGGGTCTCTAAGAGATGGATAGTTGCATATGATGAAACCAAAACTGTAAGTTTTTCAACCATTTTAGACTCATATCGTGCAGGTAATTTTAATGCACGTTGATGTTTTTCCTTAGGCTTTTTTATTGCTTTCCCTTATTTAATTTACAGCTTGGTGAGACTTCACAATAAAATAGACTGTGCAAACTTTTTCAAATACATAATAACTAAATCTAGTGACGCTGTGACGAAAGGATTTTGAAGACCGTGAAATCTAGGCATTCTAAAGCAGAATAGAATTTAGAAATATGCCACATTTTTCACAAATGAAATGATATGTACGTATTTGTTAAGAATGAGATGATCAGATTCGAAATCAATTTTATATGTTGACCTGACCATGTACTGATTAGATAATTCCAATTTTAGCACGACCAACTTGTTTTGAAAATCATTTACAGATGACATTCTGCAACATGTGCGAAGTACTTGTTAGCTTCAAGTCGATGGAACTTTTAGGGAAAATGGAGGGTCTATATAGAGGACTTATGGCTGGATTACGGTCACTGACAATTAACATTCCTGGAACAGCATACCATCATGCTCTCAAGGTAAGCTTTATGGAAATGATTACAGAATCACTGTTTCAAGTTGATAAGGTGGTTTTCCTTGCCCTTTTGGGTTGAGAATACGATTGCTGGTGTCAGTTTGAGTGCAGCTTAGTGTTTGCAATGGAATAAACCTCATTGTACCGTTCAGAAATTTTTTTAGTTTCCATCTATGACTAAACCTGCAGAGTACAGTCTATAAATAATATGATACACAATTTCTTGTAAGTGCGCAGTGCAGGAAGCAATTAACTGACATCTTATTAGATGAAATGAGAAAAAGGGTGGAACAAGCAGTTCAGAAGCAGGACTTCATGCAGATCTTGATGGACTCGGTTGATGAAAATGGAGCTAAGTTGAGAGAGATGGAGGTAGTGGAGAATATTGTGTCTTTAATTTTGGGTGGCTATGAATCCACCTCTGATGTCATGATGTGGGGCTTGTACTATCTGGCCAAACACCCTGAGATACTTGAGAGGCTCAAGGTATATCATTATCCCATGGATTATTGTTGTTTTAAGTTTGTTTCTAGCATACTTGGTGATTGAAATTTTGAATATTTTTTCAGGAAGAAGCTAAATTAATAAGAAAGCAGAAACATAAAGGGGAGCTTCTTAGTATCGAAGATATTAAAAGTATGAACTATACTTCAAAGGTAGGCTGGAGAAAATACCAGGTACAATCTTATTGAAATGCTAATAATGTCTTTACCATTGCTTCTGGCCTTCAGGTGGCTGAGGAACTAATACGCCTAGCAAATATTTCTCCCTTCATATTCAGGCGAGTAGTGAAGGATGACGTTGTTTTAAATGGTGAGTAACTGAAATATTTACATTCTTCATCGGATTCTCCTGTTATTTGGAATACTTAACAAGCGTCATGCTAGCAATTGATTTTTAACAGCGACTTCAATGGAGCTGCAGTCATTGATAAATTATCATACAAAATATAAGCTTTGTATTGTTATATACAGCATGCACAGGGTTATTCATTTGGCTTCGAACATTGTAGATATCTTGAAATTTGAATCTAACTTAAATCAAAATCAATGAATTAAAAAAAAAAAGTCATGACAGGTTCATATCGGTTTTGAATTTAGTTAGGCCTAGATCAGATTAGACAAACTAGAGATCAAATCAAAATATATATGCACCTACATATTGAATATAAACATATCAATATTTATGTATGCATTTATATCTCTATTAATTCAAATTTGTATTTATCATTTATGTGTCTTGATATGCTATCAAAAAATTCATTTGCTCGAAGCATTAGTCTTGATGCAATATTTGGATTGGATCAAAATTAGATTTAGGATTATCTTACTTTCAATTTTTGCAAAATTATAGTGGAATTGAATGTCTAGATAAGACGAACATATTGACGCCAAAAGTGATTTGATCCAAGTCTTGAAGTGTAATTGAAAATTTCATGATATTAATTGAATGAACAAATTATTTTTAAATCTTGCATGCTTATAATCAAGTCAAGTGTCTTGATGAGATGAATTCAAGGAGCCCAAGATCATTCGATTCCAATGTCATTAAGACACTTAAACAAGGTTTAAAATTGCGTAACTGCGCCTCGAGGCGGTTTTCGTCCGTGAGGCGAGGCGTAAGCCTCGAGGCGGTCTGAGGCGTAAGCCTCACTAACACAGAATTGCGTAAATGAAAAATTAAGGATTTTAGCAGGAAAATAATAGCAATAATGGAAAATAATAGCAAGAATCGAAAATTACACAAAAAATTCCAAAAATCTACAACCCTAAAATTTCTTTCATTTCAAAAATCTAACCAAAAAGTAAAAAAAAAATACCTAAAATCCTTTGTGGACTTCTCCTACAAGGCGGCCGGACACTTCAACTTCGCCGGAGAGTGGCGGCGCCGGCGGGAGAGGCGGCGGGAAGGCTAGCCGAGCGGACGGGGGGCTCTGGATGTCGCGACCTGGAGCAGCAAACGGGCGGAAAATGTCGGGATGGAGCTTAGGCCGATCGGGTGTGGAGATTTAATGGAAGATTTTAAGTAGGTGGGCCCTTGGGATGAGGCGTACGCCTCTCTTAAAATTGCGCAATTGCGCAACAGAGGCGCGCCTCAGCTTCCATGAGGCGTACGCCTCACCACTGCCTCCTATTGCGTATGCCTTGAGGCGTTTTTTTCAGGAATTGCGTAGAGGCGCGCCTCTTATTGCGCAATTTTAAACCAGAGGCTTTAATACAGGCCATTCGATAGTGTTATAGAATTTTGGTTGGATATTTCAAAATGGCACTAGAAAAACTATAGTATCCGATTCTTCATATGAAGGGAATTTTGACTGGAGATTGGATAGAGCTTGGAGATTTGAATAACTCTAAAGCTTTTTACCCAACATTTGACTCCTATGATCATCGTTAGCCCTACCATCATTTGAATGCTATTACTTGATCAGTGTCACTTGATCACAACATGGTTTAAAATTGCGCAATATGAGGCTCGCCTTGAGGCCCGTATTTGCGCAATTCCAGTAAAAAACGCCTCAATGCTTACGCCTCGATTTTTTTTATGAGGCTTGCGCCTCAACTTGGTTGAGGCTCGTCTCGCCTCACTGGCATGAGGCTTACGCCTCACGCTATATATATTAAAACTTACATAAATCTTGAAGTAAATGCCCGACATTTGACTCTATAGGAGAGGAGGAAGGGGAGAGAGCAGTTCATCATAATGATGATTCAAATGAAGAATCCCTTAGTGATGGCAATGTTGATGACTTATGAGTTTTTATTTGATATGTCATTGCTATTTGTTTTTGAAAATTGGAATTATATGTTAATAAAAAGAATACTGGGATTTGGGAATGATAGAATTTTGAGTTGAACTATATTTCATGTTGTCTTATTATTGGGATATTTTGATTTCAATTCATATCTCATGCTTTTTTATGTTTTATATTATTCACTCATTAGTATATAAAAAATTTATCATTTTATGTTTACGCAATCTTTTGATTTGTGGCTTACGCCTTGCCTCACGAATGAAAAACGCCTCAATACTCGAATACGCAATTTTAAACATTGGATCACAATCACTCTTCTGCTATTGCCCGTCCACCGTTACTTGGCTTCTTTTGTCTAATTTCCATCTAATCAGCATCACCCAATGGTCATTGTCCGGCCATCATTGCCCTACTATCATCATTTGACCATAGTTGCCTGACTAACATCATCCTTCTACTACTTCTCTAACATGCTTTGTTTGAATTACAGGAGATCAAGCTCGAGTTCATATCATAACTTTGTAATCTCATCTTTCCAAGTGAGAGGAAGAACGAACCTCTATAATTTTACTTCATTTCATTTACGTCTTGTGATTTTTTTTTGGGGTTTCTAGATGTGCTCTTATTTTATCCGTGTGCGCTAGAATTTGTGCAAGTTAGGATATAAAACTTTCACTTTATTGCGATTAGTTTTTTAGTACACAACAATTAGCGTCTTCTGTGTGAAGCATGCATTCCCAACATTATAATATTCATTTAATGACTGATAGGCATACTGTCGATGCCCACAACAATGGAGCTTCTTGCTCTTAACATTTAGGGTCTGTTTGAGATTGTTGTAGTGTTTGATAAAGTTGGTTATAAATTTGTTATAAGAAAAGTAACTTAGCTATTCTATTTACAAAAATAATTTCTATTATGAAATTTTTTGAAAAGAAGTGAGAAAGAAACAACCAAGTGAGGCTATCTGAAAGGCAAAGTAATGAGAAATTTGTCCCAAAAAGGCCTTGTCCTAAAAAAGTCCTTACTGATGTGGGGATCAATCCTTGAATCAAGAGAAACATAATCCAATTGATGAAGGCCACCCATGCTTGATTTTGAAGTAATGTCTTCACAAGATGGGGGAACAATAAACTTAAAATATTTCAATTCTTATAAGAATTTACATAACAAATAATTCAATCACAACATAAGGTTGTTCGCCTTCTTCGTCATCAACCAAATGCCAAGACTGCGGGATCCCCTCACCATCATGAGGTTCATCTTGAAGTTTCTCCTCCACCACAGCAAATTTAGATCTTCATAATACTATTAGTTCACTATTATTTGATCCCCAATAGCAACTATATCAAATTTGATCCAACATTGCCTTAATGATGCCACTTATAATATCCTAAGAGACGAACTTCGACGTCTTATTCAAGAAGAATTTCTTTTTAAGGATAGAAATCAACTTCTTATTGTAGTTTTTAAGAGTCTTAACCCTTGATAGAGGTAATTCTCTGGCATCCCATCTTGATGGGGTTTAAATTACTTGCTATTAGTCCTTAAAATGGGACTTTTGATCCTTACAAGTATATCGATCGCCCACCAGAAGACCATCATGCACACTAAAGAGGCTTCTTATGTGCTCTTTTTCCAAGCCTTTTATGCCATTCTTAAGGATCAAGCCCTTATTTGGTTCTACTTTAATAGAACTATCTAAAATTTTGTCGACCGTGCCATACCTTTTTGTCAAAGAGTTAATTACAAATTAAAGAGTTATCAAATATTCTTCTTATCTTTATGGAATTCGCCAAAGTGAGGTGAAGATCTTTAAGGAGGACATTTAAAGATTCATTTTGAAGGCTCGTCAAATTTCAGGAGTAGATCTTTAGCTACTATGAGGTTTTTTTTCTTAGAGTTCCTTGCCCTGGACTTTTTTATCTATGTTGATGGAAAAATAGTTCATGTGTACATTAATTTTGACCATTGAGTAAAAACACAAATAACTAACTAATGATGAGGCCATTTGTTACCATTAGAAGCAATTTGAACAATTCTTATGTAAACATAAAATTCATGATAAAAAATTGATCAGCCTCAATGAAAAAAGCAAGAGTAAAGAGACCAAAGGTGCCATTCTCACCAAATTTGGCCAATGTCATCTAATTACACCGCATTAAGTATATCCAAGAATAATAATATGATGGAGATCCAAAATTTTGAATATCTAAAGGAGTCAAAACCATTAAAAAAACTCAAATATCAAAAACAAGTTTAACTATTATTATTTTCACAATTCAAGAGGGCATTTAATCGAAAAATATTTTTAATTAAAGAAAAATAATGCACATTTGATTTACTAAAAAGTAAAAACACATGGGTCATTTTTAACAAGAGCAATTGGTAGATCGTCTGCCTCAAATAAAGGATTTAAAAAAAAATCATGTCTAAAAAATTATTGATATTATCATACGAATGTAACCATAGCTTATTTATATTCATACACAAGGTTGTTGACATATCAGGGGCGGAGGGAGGGGTGGGGCAAGGGGGGGCACGTGCCCCCCTTAAATTTTTTTTTTTTCATGGATGGCTGCATGTGAGTATGTGACAAGAGCTTAAAGCATTTTTTTTTTTTTGAGAAAAGGAATAGATTTAGGTATAATTATTTAGTCATCATTTTTATTACATATAGTATATTTAGAAAAAAATATTTATCAAATTTATTGATAAAATTTTTTTTGGTCAAAATGAATCTTAAAAGTATTTTATTTATTTTAAGATATGTGTAATATACATTTTAATTGAATTTTTTATATTTTGCACTCATTTTAAAGCAAATTTAAATGTGGTGGATTAATTTACATAAAAAATTAGCATTAGTTTTATAAATAATAAGACCTAACAATTCCATAATTTAACATGCAAGAATATGCCTTAGGCTTTGTTCGGAATAATTTTCTTACGAATTTTCACAATAATTATTTTATAAAAATTTTCACTCTGGCAACAGTATCATATCACAGGCCCAAACAGAGACTGCGTTCCCTCGACACAAACTGCTTGCTTCGTTTTC